TTCGTTAACAGCGTCATCGTGACCTCATCCGGCACCGATAAGGCCGAGCTCAGACTACAGCAGTTTCAGGCCGATTTAACCTCGTTTCACCTCCAGACAATCAGAGGAGAAATCTGGTCCGAGATCTTTACGGGTGAAACAGGGATAAAGTCCTCTCGTGTCAGACCGGCTCTTAGTGGAGACAAAACTATCACAGATTTTAAATCAACTCCACCCATTTTGTCCCTCCAACACTGTGGGGTTTTTTTTAGTTTTTTTTTATTTTTTTTACTGTTTTTAACACAAATTTCTTTTAAACAATGTACTTTTATTATTTTACAGATTTTTCCTGTTTTGTTAAATTATAGATAATAAGTCGTAAAAAGTAAAAAATAATGCTAATTTTAAAAAACAGGCCAAAACTGTGAACAATGTCTGTTTAAATCAGCTATAAATATCTTTATTTACAGATATTTGCTGGCCATTCTTGAGCTTTACAGTATTCTTCTGTTTTGTACATATTTTTTCTGGTTCCCTTGCTGACAGATTTTCAAAATGTTTTACAGATTTTTTTTTATTTTTACAGTGCACCCAACAATACTGCCTTACTCTTTACTGTCTCTGCTTTAAACAACCTTTCTGCACCATGTCGCTGTTTAAACAGAGCAAACCTTTCACATTTGTTTGCTATACCCCAAAAAAAGCCAATTCAAACCTCAAGCTTTTGAAATTCTGCTGCCTCCCTGCATGTTTGGATCATAAATGTGACGTGAATGACACACGATGACGCTGCAGACTGAATTCACAGCAGAACTTTCTACTTGACAGATCTTCCTCACCGTCTTCGGGCTCCAGCTTGGCGCAGGTCTCGGCCGTCATGAGGCTGGCCATGAAGCGGTGGTTGTTCTGGGGGCTGACGCAGCGCTGGGGGGCCACGGAGGAGGTGATGGACATGGAGGAGGTGATGTGGGGCCACGTGATGACGGAGCCGCCGGAGGAGGAGGAGGACGAGGACGAGGAGGAGGAAGACGAGGAGGAGGTGGGCTCCCTGGTGGTGGCCAGGTGCTCCTTCTCGGGGTCCACGTCGATGGAGTCCAGACGGACCTGAGCGGTGCTGCGAGGCTGCCGCTCATTCTGCACGGCTGCAAACAGGACGACAAACTTGAAACAACCTCATACGGCTTCACGTTGGAGTCTCTGACGCTGAGACGAGTGTTTCATGAGTTATCTGCTGCTGTCAAACTCACTCACCGTCCTTGTTCATGCCCGCCTGCAGGCACTTCTTCAGCCGACACGCCTGGCACTGGTTCCGATGAGCTTTATCCACTGGACACATGCCGGTACCGGCCTGACACCTGCAAAATAAAGGGAGGATGTACTCAGAAGTGACAGATATTTGATTTGAAAACTAAAGAATACTGAAAAACAGCATAAGTTTGTAGAAGAATAATTACACAAACAGAACATACAAGGAAAATTCTGCACCATGTGAAGGAATCAGAGTGGAGAAACTTCTAACTTTCAACCTGAAGTTTAACAAAACGACCAAATTAAAGACACATTTTGTGAAATAAACAATCCAAACTAAGTAACTCCATCATCAAAATTTTAAAAAAGGGGACTGGAGCCTGATTTTAAACTGAAATATGGGTTTTTAATACACAGACAAACCAAATAATATCTAAAAATAAATGTATTTG